ACCATTTAATCAGCAGTACTGTGATAGTATACCTATAGTAATTAAATAAATTCAGTTTTAATTATATTTATTGTAGTTTCATTAAATACTTATAATCGTCGCCGATTTTATAAAATACAAAAAAAAAATTCTAATCACATCTGCCGCTTCCCTTCCCCTAATCTCGACCTAACAGTACCATAATGAAGTTTCCGAATTCGAATGCATATACGCCTTATTCAAGTATACGCGCTTACGCTTGCAACTTACAGGTTTACACTTACTCATTAAGAGAAAAAAAAATGTATTTTACCGTTTCCGATTCCAAATAATTTAAATTATAGAAATAAAATTATTCATCGAAATGGATATATATATATAGAGTAAAATTCTATTGACGAGCGCTACCACCTATATCACTTTAATCGACTGCTGACTGAGGGAGTCCCAACATAGAAGTGTCTGACTTTTTTTTTCAATAAATATATTGTTTTTACTATTACCTTGCCAAATTTCAGCTATGCGAAAACACTTTTGGTGAAATTATTATTCGACATGGATATATGCCTATTGACGCGCGCTACCACCTATATCACTCTAATCGACTGCTGACTGGCGGGGTCCCGACATAGAAGTGTCTGACTGTTTTTTTCAATAAATATATTGTTTTTACTATTACCTTGCCAAATTTCAGCTAGGCGAAAACACTTTTGGTGAAATTATTATTCGACATGGATATATGCCTATTGACGCGCGCTACCACCTATATCACTCTAATCGACTGCTGACTGGCGGGGTCCCGACATAGAAGTGTCTGACTGTTTTTTTCAATAAATATATTGTTTTTACTATTACCTTGCCAAATTTCAGCTATGCGAAAACACTTTTGGTGAAATTATTATTCGACATGGATATATGCCTAATGACGCGCGCTACCACCTATATCACTCTAATCGACTGCTGACAGGCGGGGTCCCGACATAGAAGTGTCTGACTTTTTTTTTCAATAAATACATTGTTTTTACTATTACCTTGCCAAATTTCAGCTATGCGAAAACACTTTTGGTGAAATTATTATTCGACATGGATATATGCCTAATGACGCGCGCTACCACCTATATCACTCTAATCGACTGCTGACAGGCGGGGTCCCGACATAGAAGTGTCTGACTGTTTTTTTCAATAAATATATTGTTTTTACTATTACCTTGCCAAATTTCAGCTATGCGAAAACACTTTTGGTGAAATTATTATTCGACATGGATATATGCCTATTGACGCGCGCTACCACCTATATCACTCTAATCGACTGCTGACTGGCGGGGTCCCGACATAGAAGTGTCTGACTGTTTTTTTCAATAAATATATTGTTTTTACTATTACCTTGCCAAATTTCAGCTATGCGAAATCACTTTTGGTGAAATTATTATTCGACATGGATATATGCCTAATGACGCGCGCTACCACCCATATCACTCTAATCGACTGCTGACTGGCGGGGTCCCGACATAGAAGTGTCTGACTTTTTTTTCAATAAATACATTGTTTTTACTATTACCTTGCCAAATTTCAGCTATGCGAAAACACTTTTGGTGAAATTATTATTCGACATGGTTATATGCCTATTGACGCGCACTACCACCTATATCACTTTAATCGACTGCTGACTGGCGGGGTCCCGACATAGAAGTGTCTGACTGTTTTTTTCAATAAATATATTGTTTTTACTATTACCTTGCCAAATTTCAGCCATGCGAAAACACTTTTGGTGACGTCATTTTTTTGACCACTTCAAAGTCGCGCTGACTCTACGTGTCCCCGTATTTCTTTGTCTGACTGTTAAATTATGGTTCTACATTATATTCGCCTGCTCTTTGCAAATTTTCAGCTTTGCGAAAACTGTTGCGAGGTGTTGATTAAAAATACACCTTTGCGCGCATCTCAGCTCCAGGTGTCCCGGAACTAGAACTGCTGACTGTAGCCTAGCTTTGTAGCACTAAAATACTACTCATTCTGAAAATATGAGCCTTGCGAAAACTCTTGCATATTTTCGACGCCAGCTCCTGGACTATAATGATTTTCTTTCAAAAGTTCGAAGAGAAAGTATATTCTTCTACTCGCAAATAATAGCTTTTATTCACTCGAATGATTCTGAATTTTCATCCTCGTGAATAATAGCTATCCTTATATGCTCGTTGAAGAATATACTATTCTTCCATGTTGATTTCCTAATGGAAATTGAAAACTTTGCCATAAATCTCATTAGAGAGTCTAAAAAATATTTTCAAGTTTCGCAGTAACTTTAAATTTTCAGAATTTATAGATTAAAGTGTTTTTCATAAGGAAAATTGTAACAAAAGTGGATCTACATAGATCTACATTCAGATTCAATGTTTGGTAATTATCTCGTAGAGCTTGGAAATAGAGTTAAATTTAAAAATTCTCCTGAAATCTCATTAAAGAGCCTCTGAAAAATACTTCCAAGTTGCACTCACTGACTTCAAATTTTCAGGATTTATTGAAAGCTTTTTTTGAGGTAAATTGAAGCGGGAGTAGATCTAGAGCTTAAAGTTAGAGTTAGCATATTTTCCCCATTCCGATTTTTGAGGAAAGTTTAAAAATGCTTCTGAAATCTTATTAGAGAGCCTCTAAAAATGCTTCCAAGCGTCGGTCGCAGTGACTTCAAATTTTCACTATTTATAGATTAAAGTGCCTTCTATGAGACAGTTGATCTAGAGTTTGGGGATAGAGTTAAGAGTTTTTTGCTTAACATTGTTTACACATTTCCCAAAAATTTCATTAGATGCCTTCTAAAAAATACTTCCAAACCTCGTATTGACTTTAAATTTCAGGCTTTATAGATTGAAGTGTCTTTCATACAACAAATTAAAGCAAAAATGGATGTAGAGCTTGGAAATAGAATTAACTTTTATTTTCCGTTTTGATTCCGCAAAAAAATTGAAAATTTTCTCCTGAAATCTCCATAAGAAGGCCTCTGAAAAATACTTCCAAGTGTCGCAGCGACTTTTATGTTTCAAAATTTATACATTAAAGTGTCTTCCATGAGACAGTGGATTTAGAGTTTGGAAATAGAGTCGAGAGATATTTCCATGTTGATTTTAAATAAAAGTTTAGATTTCCAAAAATTTCATAAGAGAGCTTCTGAAAAATACTCCCAAGCATATCGCATTGACTATAAATTTCAGGATTTATACATTCCGTCAGTATATCTGTCACCCCTACTCTGTCATACCCACCACATATCACAACTACCTAACATCCTTCTTTCTCTAGAAATTATAGATAATATATTCACAAAAATGTTAAAAAATCCCATGTTTTTTAGAGATTATGTTTCTTAAGAAATTATTGTTTTTTAGATGTTTTTGTTATTTTTATAATAGTTATTGCTTTTTATTTTTGTCAATATTACTTATAATTTCTAGAGAAAAAAAGATGTCAGGTAGTTGCCAGTAATATGTGGTATGACCTTAGAGCAGGTAAAGGTAAAGAGGAGTAGTAACCTGGATTTGGAAAATGAAGCCGTTTTTTTCCAGGTATTTTGGCACCAAGAAAATGGCGCTTATGGCAATTCAATGCTTTACCTGTATCTTGGTGCCAAACACCTGCCAAAAATTTGGCATCACTTTAGTTTCATAAGCAGAATGGCGCGTTCCTACTCCTTATGTCCGTAGGACAGCGCTTTCCTGCTCTAAGGGCATGACAGATTGAGTTTGTTTGCTTAGTGAAGTTCTACAACTATAATGATAGAATAATACAATAATACAATAGAACTAAACCTTCACTAAGCAAACAAACTCAAAATGAACCAAAAATCTATTAACAGATTCTGACAGTTGTCAAAATGTGACATGCATGAACTTTGTTTAATGTTTTATCACCGCTAAACTACCTTGAAACAAAAAAGAACCAGATTAGAGTATTTTTTTCTACTAAAACAAATGACAGGTTTTGACAGTTCTGTCATTTTTTTTCAATTTTTGAATTCAGAATTTACATACAAGTTAGAAATGTCAAATGACATCATAAAATATTGAAAACGGGAAAAGATGAGTGCTGCCGTTTGGCAGGGTTTTGACAGGTGTCAAAATGGTTGACATTTTTCGAGTTGACTTGGTCGACTTAGTAGACATCGATACTTCGATCATCAAAATCTGCCATAGTCACTCTTCTTTTGGATATAAGATTCCAATATTTGACAGCTAACCACGCCTCACCTGTCATATATACAGGGTTGTGCCCATGGTAAAAAATGTTGCTTACGGCATCCCCAATGACATATTTAAATTTCATCCAAATATCACGGGTAACCAATTTCCATTTAAATATTGCGGGGTCTACTATGGCTTTATTCAGATTTTGTGGGTCTAAACAAATTCGAAGACTGTTGTCTGGCTTTTTTACAATGACCATAGAATTGCACCACTCAGTTGGTTCAGTCACTTTTCTCAAAACGCCCCTTTTCTCCATATTACCCAACTCACTTTTAACTGACTGCTGAAGGCTGATTGCAATTTTGCTTGGAGGTTCTACAATACTGGCTCTACCTTTTTCTTCAACTGAATTTGTCAATTCATCAATGTCTTGAAAAATATGGTCGTATTTTTTTACTAGACTCACAATCACATATTTATCTTCCTATTCTACAGATCCTATTCTCTTTAGCAGATTAAACATCTCAATAAATGAAAGACCAATTATTCATGGAGCATTAAAGTTGACTACAATGAACACTACATTGTGTTTTTAATTATTAGTTTCACAATTAGGTGTAGTTTGTCCATAAACACCCATTAAAAAGCCTTCATAGTTCAATAGCTTTGTATTGGATGACTGAATTCCAGCATTAATAAGTTCTTTAGCAGTTCTCAAGCTCAAAACATTAACATCAGCTACTAAACTGGTTATGTTACTGGTAACTACCTAACAATAACCATGAATTTTATGTAAGCAATTTATTAGGATTTCCAATAAATACAGGATTTACCATCTTCTTGCAGATTTGACGACGAAGAACTAAAAGTAGAAATGGACTATCCCAGAAACATGTCCAGAATGTGGAAAGGAGTTGGAACCGACATTGACGCCGTATTCCAATGGAAAGACGGTAAGCCCTCAAGTTCCTCAATAAACAATCACTCATCATTTATTTCTTTAGGTAAGACCTACTTTTTCAAAGGCAAAGGATTTTGGAAATTCAACGACTTACGAATGAGAGTGGACGATTACGAACAAAAACTTTCGGCACCAGTTTGGATGGGGTGCAAGCAAAATTTCGAACAAAACGACCTCAATCAAAAACTTCCATACACTGGTGGTTGTAGTTTGACGAAAAACAGCTTATTTACGATTTTGATTGTTTTTATAAGCAGGGTGCTCTTGATGTTATAGATCTCTGGTTTGGGAAAATTAATTGTGATAGGGATAAGGCTATAATATATTTTTTTATTAAGGCAATAGTTCTATAATTAATTTTAAAGCTTTGTACAGCAAATTTTTATTAGGCCACCTTAGTGCAATAAATTAAATTATGAGGTAATTTTTGCAAAATTGAAGCTTTACATATCGAGGTATATAATAATGATATTTGTATTTTGTAAAGACTGAATTTATTAATTGCTTTTTTCATCATCACTGCCTCACTTTTAACAATAATATTGATTGCTTCAAAAATACTATATTTTTGTGATATATTATTATCTACATATTTCTTGATTTGTAATTTTTTTTTTATATTATATTCTTTAGGCTTTTAATTTCTGTGATATTTTTATAACCAGTTTTTTTATTTGTATAATAATTTTAGTTTATATTTATAATTAGTCAAAAAATACAATAAGTGTACCAAAAAAAAAAAATGTTTAGGTCAAAACCTTACATTCCAAAATTTTCTGAGGAGTAGCTTACACCAATAATAATACTCCGTTCCTTATTTGTAAGGAGTCAAAATTTCATTTTAATCGGGACACACCTGTATATCAATATTCAATATTTTAAATAATATACTTTTAGCTAATTTGAAAAACACCATTTCATCTTCGAATAAAAAGAACGTTTTAGTTCTTTAATTTAAGCTTATTGGTTTGGCTTAGCAGCCAATTATTAAGCATTGTGAAGACCTATTGGGTTTAATTACTGCTAATTTAAAAAAATAATTATTGTAAATATACTGAATGTTAATTAATGAAAAAATTGCCTATTTTAAACAGGAAATAAATCTTTTTTTTTTTTTAATTTCAGACTTTGTTTTATTACTAGTTTTCGAGAATTTTGTAGAGTCCTTTACTCTTCTGGAAATCCCGGTAGTACTGTAATGACTCACAAAAAGACGAGCTCGGTTACTTAGAAAATTATTTTATTAATTAAATATGAATGAATATGCATCACACATTTGGATGCCATTGGAAGCCACGCATATTGATGAAATTGAAAAAGTGCAGAAGAGATTTTTGCGGTATCTCTATGTGGTTAAAAATAATATTTACCCATATATGGTTCCTTACAGGGATATGCTTGTTAGTTTTGAGATAAAGTCATTAGTGGAAAGAAGGAATAATCAGGCTGTGATATTTTTGTTTTATATTTTAAACAACCTAAAGTATAAGGATTGTAATTTAATTAACTATGTCTCCTTAATTGTACCAAAGATTAACTTAAGAATTATGAAAAACAAGAAATACTTTGGTACTGATCCTAGTAATAATATGTCACCATTTAATCGCATGATGACAGTTGCGAACCAAGCACTTAATGAGGTCTAGTTAGATCTTTTTAATGTAACTTTAAATCAATTGAAGGCCCTTTTAAATTAGTCATATATGTTTATATTGTGTACTCTATCTTTATTTTTGTGTTTTACACTTCGCTGTTTTAACTTTACATGTAATTACTATTTTTGGTGTTTGTAAAGTAATGAAATAAATAAATAAATAAATAAATCTCTTCAACGTTTCACCTTAAGACAAATTTATAATTTTAATTTATTGTGGGCGGCATCCTTTGAGACAAAGTAACATGTACAATGTCAAGCTCCTTAAGCAGGTACTCTCCTCTTTTTTTTCTTAGAAGTTTCAACATTTTCTCATCAACAAAATTTAGTCTCTACTAATTTTTGGAAAAAAAAAATGCATTTTAAAAGTGATAAAAACTTTATTCATTTTTCTTGAAAACAAAATTTATATAAAAAACTATAACACATTTTTATACACAAATATACAAAGAATTAAATTTAAAAATATAAATCCAAAAACAAAAAAATTATAAAAAATTACATAATTGTATATAATCAGTCAATTATTATTTTGAAAAAAATTATGTGTGCATCAATTTTCATTAAAAAAGTTTGGAAACAAAATTAAATGGACCATGCACGGATCTTATGAGAAAAAAAAAATTTCACGATTGTCATGAAATTGAAATACGTTATGCTTCTCGACTTCCTGAACATAAGTTCTCGTAGGCCCAAAAAGATCGTATGATTAGTTTCGGAGATACAGGACTGATAAAAAAAAGTAGTACAAGAAAATTCTCCTTTATCTGCTGGTATATTAATTTAATTTATAACCAAAAATGACATATTTTTGGCATTTTTTGACAAGTTTTTAACCTTTAAAGCTTCAGATGACATCACTTTGGCATTTTTCCACTTGTTTTTAACCTAAGATATGTCATTGCCTGACCTCAACATATTTTGAAATGTGCATTTTTTGTCAAAATTTTGTATGTTAACCCATCCCTGTATCTTCGAAACTAATCATAGGATCTTCTTGGGCCTACGAGAACTTACGTTCAGGAGGTCGAGAAGCATAACATATTTCAATTTCATTGATTTTTTTTCCCATAAGATCCATGCGTGGTCCTTCACCTTTTATAGTGATCAAATAATTATAATTAAAATTTCCTCAGGTAAATTTCAAATAAAGTAAAAGGAAACGCGACTTCATCAGACATCAATTTTATTGCAAAATATCGTACGTATCTCTGTATGTAATTTTAACAAAAAAACAATACACCAACTTTTACCTAAACTCGTAGATTTGTATTGAATTTTCAGGCACATGTGTAAGAGTTAACGATTGATACCTGTAAAAAAAAAATCAGATTTATTAATTTAGACTTATTTTTCAAAAAAATCACTTACCATTCTGAACTTCTATGATAATAATAACCTTCAATAGTGGCTTGGGATTTCTGAAAACAAATATAATAAAATCCAGCAAATGAAGCGCCACTGATGTCCCTGATGGTGTGGTCCGGCACCAAAAAGTGTTCTTTCCATCTCATAAATACGAAATCCGTGTCCGCTAATTGGCTATAGTCAAAGTTGTCCGAATTGAAGTTTTTTGAGTATTGATCGAATTGATCAAATTTACTCTAAAATAAATGAACAATTAATTTAAAATTTAAAATAAGGCTTATTTATTATTACCCAATGTTTCAAGTCTACTTCTTCGTCGGCGTCCCATTTTCTGGTTAAAAATGGATATTTTTGGCTTATAATTTCTCCGTCGAAAAACGTTGTCAGTTTGGGGTATTCTTCTGTCAAACCATTTATTTGAAGGTATCCACATAAATAAGAATTTTCTTCGTCGACGTGCTAAAAAGTGTTTATTTCTAGATTTTAAAAAATTTGGTATACTTAAGGGTAGTGATGTGAGTTGAGAATATTCCCATGCGAATATTCACGAACATTGAGAAATTTCCGAGAATATTCGCCGATAAAAAATAGAAACATTCTCCTGAATGAGAATATTCCTGGAAACTTTCAATCAAAAACTCTCAAAAGAATATTTCCAAGAATCTTCGAAAATATTTCCAAAAACTTTCCAGAAGAATTTTATAAAAATGCGAGATTATTGCGAATACAAGGTCTCAGCAACGTCATTTCACTTTATTATTATTATTATTATTATTATTAGTTTCAGCAGTAGGCGGATTTAAAATCCGATGAGACTACTGAGTCTGTTGTACTGCGTGTGTCATTGTTTGGTGTTATTAAAATCACATTTAGATTGGTCATGCAGAGTAATGCACAAACATATTGTTCCAGTCTTCGATTTCCTTGTCAAGGCGATTTTTGAATTGGTTCTTGGATGTTGAGTTTACGGTGTCGCTGCTCAGAGAGTTCCAATGATACACCACCCTGTTGGACAGGAAGTTTCGTCTAAGCATTTTGTTGCATTTTTCTTTGGATAGCTTTTTGTTGTGACCCCGTGAGTTTTGATTAATGCTGAGTTGGTATATATTGGTTAAGTTGCAGGCATAGTATCCGTTGAGAATCTTAAATGTCTCGATAAGATCTCCTCTGGTTCTGCGGTCTTTCAGTGTGGTCAGGTTCAATTGAGTCAGTCTGATTTCATATGGCAGATCTTTAAGTTCACTAGGAAGCTTAGTAATCCGCCGTTGTACTCGCTCGAGTTGTTCAATGTCCTTCACATAGTAAGGATTCCAGATTGATTGGGCATACTCAAGTTTTGGTCGAATGTAGGACTTATACAGTTTGAAAATCATCTCTTTAGAGTGGTCTTTGAATGCTGTTTTGATGAGGTATGTCATTGAGTTTGCCTTTTTTGTTACATTAGTGATGTGTGTCTCCCATTTTAGGTCTGCCGTCACTGTGATTCCAAGGTCTTTCTGCTTTGCAACAGTTGTTATTGGTGTTTGTTGTAGAAAATAGCTATGACTAGGGTTATTCTGGCCTATGTGTAGTACAGTACATTTGGAATCATTAAGTGGCATTCCCCACTTTGTTGTCCATTCCTTTATTCTGACAAGATCTTGCTGTAGGTCCTTATGTTGTAATAGAGGGTTACAATATAGGTTACCATCATCTGCAAAAGATGCATTTTTTGTTGTAAGTCCCTGGTACAGATCGCTCAAGTATGTTATGAATATGAGGGGACCGAGAACTGAGCCTTGAGCAACTCCGCTGTGTACTTTGTGCTCCTGCGACAGGCTAGTACCAATTCGTACCTGGAAAGTTCGACCAGACAAAAAACCATCACCAATCAGCCGTAGTAAATCACCTCTGACTCCAAATTGCTGTAGTTTGTATTTGATGTATTCGATTGGTATTTTGTCAAACGCCTTTTCGAAGTCAAGGTAGACCACATCCATTGGTTCTCGGTTGTCATCAGCCAGTGACCAGTCGTTGAACCTAGTTAGAAGGTTAGTGAATGTGGATTTTTTTGGTAGGAAGCCATGCTGCTGTGAGGGTATGATCCTTGTTTCCAAGAAGAAAGATGTAAGTTCTTTTGCTATGACTTTTTCCATGCACTTACACAGCATGCTAGTTAAACTAATTGGCCTGTAGTTTTCTGCCAACTGTTTATTTCCTTTTTTAAATATTGGTGTGACAATAGCTTTCTTCCAGGCTTTCGGAAATTCCCCTGTTGTCTGTAAGATGTTTAACACATTTGCCAGGGGTGCTTTTAGAACTTGTACACAATTTTTGAGAAAAATGGAAGGAATTTCATCTATTCCAGGACTTGAGTTGGACTTTAATGACTTTATGGCAACTTCTAATTTTTCTGGTGTAAATTCGATGTGATTTATCTCAGTTACCGTGTAAGCATTTACTGGTAGTGTGGGCCTAAGGGTGTTTGCGTCCAGAATAGTAAAAACACTCTGGAACTGCTGCGCGAAGCACTCTGCGATTTCCTGATCAGATTTGAACGGTATTGAGGTATCCTTATCTATTAGATTGAAGCTGGCATGCTTTGAGTTTAGCGAACGGCTTATGTATGAGTAGAATTGTTTAGTGTTCGCTAATAAATTGTGTTCATAGTTTCTCCTGGCCGATACTGTGCAGGTTTTTGTTTTGTTGTTTTGGTGTTGATAAATTTGATAATTTTCTTCAGATTTGTTGTTTTGGTAATTATGCCAAAGATTTCGCTTTTGTTGAATTTCTTTGAAAACTTCTTTTGTGAGCCATGGTTTTTGCGGATTAACTTTTTGTGGTTTGTTTGGGATGTGTTTGTTTATTGTGTTTGTTAAAGCCTCGTAGAATTGGTTGAAAGTCAATGGGTTTGCCAGTCTTCTTAATTCCTGTTCAAGTGTTTCATTAACTGCGATGTAATCTGCTTTCCAAAATTGCCTTTTGTAAATTTTTCTGGTTGGTTGAGCAGCTACATTTATTTGTGACTTGGCTGTGATTACAACATGATCACTTTTTCCCAAGGGTGCGTGTGATTTGATATCAAAAACTAACTTTTTCTCATTGGTTATGAGTAGATCAAGTAATGATATCTGGGTGTTGCGGATTCTTGTTGGAAAATTTATTTGCTGATACCCCCTATGGTTTTTATAGCTTTCTAGGAAGGCTTGGCTGCACTGGTCATTTGGATGGACTTCCAGTGTATTCCACTTCATTTCGGGGTAATTAAAGTCTCCCATGATGTAGACAGGTACTTTTAGTGACAATGCATTTTCGATGGTTTTTATGAGTTGTATGTTTTCTACTTCTGTGGTTTTTTCTTTAGGTCTGTACACACATGCAACTAGAATTTTGATTTTGCCAATCAATATTTCTAACCAAATTGATTCAACAGGTTCTATTGTCTTGTATGTTTGAGATATGGTCGCGTGTACATTGTATCCTGCAATGTCACTTTTAACAAAGGCGCAAATTCCGCCACCAGCTGCTCCTCGGTCTTTGCGAAACAGTGAGTAACCAGGTAATTGGATTAAGCTGTCTGGTATTTGCTCAGTTAGCCATGTTTCAGTAATGAGAATGATGCTCGCGTTAGTGCTTTGAATACTTATTTTTAGTTCATCGAGCTTGTTGGTCATGGAGCATAGGTTACTGTACCATAAGGAGACTTCAAACATAGTGGCATGCTTTGGTTTTTTGCGGTTTGTTCGTGGGAGATAACTATCCTAGGGATATTATTGAGATACCTGATCTTCAAGGCAGCCTCTCCTTTTTGTTTGCGTTCTTCCAGTTCTTTCAGGATGTTTTTTAGGTATGCTCTTTGAATGGGTGTTTGATCTGATTTGATATAAACTCCTTCCTCTTTGAGATTGTTTTTGTTTCTGAGCACTTCTTGGGCAGCAGCTATAGAGGGCAGAGTCACACGGATTGGTCTTACTTTACCCTGGGACTGTGCACCCAGTCGATAGACTTTAATGTCAGTTCGCTGAATATTGTTATTTACTGATTTAATCAGTTTGTATGCTTTTTCTGGGTCAGAATCTGGATCATTTTGATTATTGCTTTCTTTTGCTCCGAAGATCAGTACATTTACAGATCGTTTTTGTCGCTCAGCCATTTCGCAAAGTGTTGGCTCAATAATTGAGGTGTGATCCCCTGGTGGGGGTTGATTTTTACAAATAGTTTTTTGTGCCGTGATCTCGGTATTAAGTTCTTCAACTTGCCTTTTTAGGTTTGTAGTGTCGGCAGCCACCTGAGCATAGCTTGGTGCATTTTCATTGATTTGTTTTTTCAGTTCCTTGGTAACCTCTTCCAGACTATCAATTCTCTTGTTGATTGTTGGCAGGTCCTTGACAGTTGCATTGATAGTATCCAGACAGTCTGAGCAAAAGTATTTCAGGCTGTGGGTTGAACATAGCACTCGGATTTCACTTGATGTAAAGTGGTTGCAGTTTTTGCAAAATATTTTTCTGCATAGGTCACAAGCGCATCCAAATAGCTCCTTAATTTCCTTGCTTTTGGAGGTGTCTATGAAGTAGCACTTTCCCTCACAGTTTGAAAAAGTCAAAGAACTCATGGTTTTGGGTTATGTTTTTTCAATAATAGGTAAATAAAGCTTACTACGATTTGTCTGATTTAGATATAAAGGACCCCGCACACTTCTTATGGGATTTCTGACCGCGGTCAAATTTAACCAAATTTCAGTATGTTATAACAACTTAATCCTATGACTAGTTTTTGAGATACAGGTAGTTTAATGTCCAAGAAATGCACACATTTTATATGAATTTACATCTACCGGTCACCTGAATGTGAAGATACCTGTCCATCCTGATATTATTAGGTGACAGGTAGATGTAAATGCATATAAAATATGTGCATTTCTTGGACATTAAACTACCTGTAGCTCAAAAACTAGTCATAGGATTAAGTTGTGCACAGGATAATTATTGATCAGAAAGGTGAAATCTATAACATACTAAAATTTGGTTAAATTTGACCGCGGTCAGAAATCCCATAAGAAGTGTGCGGGGTCCTTTATATCTAAATCAGACAAATCGTAGTAAGCTTTATTTACCTATTATTGTAGTGTACTGACTATAGATTATAAACCAAGAAAAACCGGGAATTTTACATCACTATGTACAGGTGTCCGAATTTGGATGGTTTTAATAGGAAACGTCAATTTCTGAGCAAGATGCAACAAAATGAACCCCCCACTCCGAGGCTCAAATTTTTTGAAATTTTGATTGGTGCAAACCGCATTTTGATATCTTCAACTGTTTAGCCGCTAGAGGGCGATTCTCGATTTTGAGCAATACTGTGAAATCTTCATAATTTTTTTGTTTATAAAAATAACTGATTTCCGTAAAAACTTCCTAGAAGCACTTTTTTAAGCAGAATTCAGTGACGTTTTCAGTTTTTTTCTATTGGGCCTCGGTTTC